TTCCTTAGTGCCTCCTGGGGCATAAAACACCCATTTAGAGACTGCAGGTGGGCACACAGATGAACACATAAACACATCCAACTGAAATATCCTCAGCAAGGTTTTTGGAGCTATGTACATAGAAGTAGACTTCTAAGTCCTTTACTGTGATTTGGAGTAATTTTTCAGCAGATATGACGGATCCCAGAAATAAAGTGTACTTTTCTGGCCCTTAAAAACTCTTTTGGTTCCTATCCTTCTCCAGAGCTGAGGAAAGGCATAGAGTCTCTTCTCTCCCTAAACTTCACTTGTTTTTTAAAAAAGCTGCAAAGCATGGGTCAAGTTGCAACTCCACTGTGTCTCAGAAACATATACTTGTTAAAGAGTACAAAGCAGTCTTCAGGGGACTGGAGGGCCATGGGGTAGGAGATAAACAAGCTCTAGAATAAGTTTCTTTCATCTTCTCTCTGAAAGAGGAAGCAACTAAGAGCTTCCGTTCACTTTGTCTGCTAGCATGCCTTCTGCCTGCCACCCTTCTCTTTCCTAAACATGCATCACCCTTCAATGACAGCTTGTTGCACAGTCCAAACATTCTCCAGAACAATCCCAAGAAGCCTGAATTAATTTGACAATTCACTTTCTTGCACAGTACATTTTCACCTGGATACTCCAGTGATCCAGTCAAGGGAAATACTGTGTCAGTCTGCTCATGAATTCAGTAGCGCAGTCACTGACCCAGTCGCCCGCAAAGAGAGAAGCGCCTTTGCATACCCTCCACATCCTCTCTGGTTTTAATCAATGAAAAACACGAAACACAAACCCAGCACACTTCTGTTTTCTTCCATTGTAATAGTGAGGGTGTTGTGGTTTAACGACAGCCGGCAACTGAGCACCACACAGCCACTCACTCACTCTACCCCCGGTGGAATGGGGGAGAGAACTGGAAGAGTAAAAGTGAAGAAAAACTCATGGGTTGAGATAAGAACAGTTTAATAATTGAAATAAAATAAAATATTAATGTTACTACTAATAATTATAGTAATAAAAGAATATACAAAGCAAGTGATGCACAATGCAATTGCTCACCATCCGCTGGCCAATGCCCACTCAGTCCCCAAGCAACAATCGCTGCCCCCCGGCCAACTCCCCCAGTTTCTATACTGAGCATGACATCATATGGTATAGAATAGCCCTTTGGTCAGTTCGGGTCAGCTGTCCTGGCTGTGCCCGCTCCCAGCTTCTTGTGCACCTGGCAGAGCATGGGAAGCTGAAAAGTCCTTGACTTAGTGTAAGCACTGTTTAGCAACAGCTAAAACATCACTGTGTTATCAACATTATTTCCATACTAAATCCAAAATACAGCACTATGGCAGCTACTAGGAAGAAAATTAACTCTATCCCAGCCGAAACCAGGACAGAGGGAATCAGCGAAGAGCAGACAGAGAGGAAGTGGTACAAAAGGCCACCCTTGCTCACCAGCATGCAGCTACTTGGCTTGTAACATTGTCCACAACAAAGATTCAACATGAAGGGATACTGAAGATTCCCCACAGCCACCATTAAGGCCTTTCACCTCTGCACATACAAAATTTTCCAACGCCATTTAGAGCACACTAGTTTAAATCCTCCCAACGTAATCAGCAAAACAAATAAAACAACCAGCACTGTAGACTGTCTCCTCAGGGACAGTAAAAGAGATCTAGTTCCCTCACAGACCATATCATGCTCTGTATAAACAGGAATAAAACTGGAATAACTCTGTTGACTAGACTGGAGTTATTCCAACAATACACTAATCAAAATGAGATCATAAGTTAACTCAATATATACAAATAGTGACAGCTGCTGGTTTCTATAGCAAAATATAGTAAATAATTATCATCAGAAACACAAGCAAAAGGAACACCTATGTATGATTCAATTACTTGCTTCCATGAAAATTACAGGTTCGTAATTCTCATTAATTCAACTCAGCTAAATGAATGACATCCAAGCAGCAAAGCCAGCAACAAAATACTATCTCACAATCAATCACAGAAGCAACAGAAATTCCTACCCATTTTTTTAAATTGAACCCCCCATTTTCAAAGTTTTTAAAAAACTAGTTTGAAATATCTTTAATATAAAATTAAAGAATATGATTTTCTTATCAGCAGTGTATATAGCCATAAAATCAAAATCTTAAGTCACCAACAACTCATTTTCTTTCCATTAAGGTGTTTTAAGCAGGATCTCAGTCTTTTCTTACATAAAATTCAAGTAAGACTATCTAAACCATCAGTAATGTCCTCAAGATGGCTTCATATATGCAATGAATTAAACACTCTCAAATACTTTATTTTTTTCAAAGTGGCAAAGACTCACTACATCCCAATCATATTTCCCAGATGGTGTCATGAACCTCTTAACACTTCATTTCCATCATGTTCCATGTCTTGAGAAATCTGTTTTCAATCTTTCAAACACAAACAGGGCCTCCACCCTCTGTCCCCTGATGCTAGATTCAGCAGTCCCCAGCCAACATATTCTTCATATTCTTTTTAGGGTGAATAAATTCATCTCCTCCCTCATATATCACATAGAAACCTTCAATGACACATTCATGTTCTTCAAACTTCTTCATAAGTATATTATTTATGTCGTCTATGAAGAAATGGAGGATATGCATTCGTCAGAAATAAGCAGCTCCAAGTCAGTCTAAGAAAAGCATCTGCAAAACTGACTCGACCCTACTCTTGCTCCCAGTGTACTGGAGTTATGACCTACAGATACTGCTGCTTTTATATTTCATCTAGGGACCTGCTAATTCTCACCTCTGCTTGCTCAGAATGAAGAGCTCTAGAGGCATCTAAATTCAGTTCTGAGGATTTGGTTCAGTGTCTGTATGTGGAAAAATACAGAACAGATTGATCTGAGTTGAAGCTCTAGAAGATGAAATTCTACCCTTATACCTCCTTTGTCTTGCATCCAGTCCTTTCTTTTTAGCAAAACGTTCCTATTGAGGAGAGTGTTTTCTGTTCTTCAAGTGTCTAACAAACGATGACTTTGGGTCTCCCTGTCATTGTTGCCCTTTCGAGATCCACACTGTACTTAACTTGAACAACACACTATTTTCTCTCTAGTGACAGAATAAGCCATTCATTATAATCAAAGCTTTCTGGGTCTCGCTTTGCATAAGAAACCTAGGACTAGACAGACCACCCAAGTCCTGGAATCCAGTGTTCTGCATACACAATTAACCACACATATTGACATCAGCACAAGGCGGCTTCACAGACTACCTGTTCCACACAGCCCTATCTACAAATCACAGAACACATTCAGCAGCCATGATTATGGCAACTTCTGGAACCTACTATGATGTGTGACATCTGAACGTGAAATTCAAAATTTTATCTTTCTTGTATATTAATGCCAGAACTTAGAATTTCAATGTTTGTCCCCAAACATTTCAGTATTTGTCCCAGAATGCCTGTGTAACAAAATTCATGAAGAAGCAGTGGATCTGACTGGACTGAAAACAACGTTTTTGAAATCAACGTTCTCCCAGCTGACCACAAGACTGCAAAACCAGGTCTTTCATTCTCGTTCCTCCCTCACACACTCCTAGCTGTACAATGGCTGGGGTTTTGACAAGTTCTTTTTCAACACCTCTGTCTGGGAGCCTAGTGATTCCGGGGAGTGAGTTGTATGCCTGAAAAAACCCAGCTAGAGACAGGAAATAAAGTTACTCACCACTTGCCATCTGGTAGATTATTTAGGACAAGGACCTGCATTATTACGATGAACTCTGCTCAATGTTTTCAACAAACATTCATGAGTGCCCCAGTTCCAGGACAAGATGCTGGGTGCTGGATTGCAAGATATACTTGCCCTACTGCTGTTGATGCAAGTGCCTAAGCTCCAGAGAAAGTCACTTGCCTTTTTACGTTAAAATTCCCGCTGACTTGCAGCAAGAATTTTCCTTTTCACTAGGCAGGTTTTGGGACCATTCATCTGAGCTGCCTAAAGCACACTTTATAGGTGCTTCATTCTGGTCTGGGACTCCATTTTGTGCATTTAAAATTTAGGTCCTTCAGCTTAACTTGCAGAACTCTAGATCTTGCCAGATTCATCTCTACCTCACTTCTGTGGGAGCTGGAAAACGAAGTGTAGGAAAGGAGGACAGAGGAAAGTGGTAAGCAGTTTTACCATCATCTGCGCAAAGCTCTAGGGCTCCATTCCTCCTTCTGTCACAGACTGGCTACCTCGGGTGAGGCAAGTCACCTTCCCAAAGAATTGTATTCCTAATCTGCATCCAGGGGATGTCACTTGAAGAAATGCTGGGCATTCACAGCTATCTCTTGATAGCATTTTACATACTTGAAACATATACAGTGCCTTATGTGGATAGCTGCCCCTCCTGCCATCCCCAAAATAGCTACTGTTTGGTGTTTCAGATTTGTAGCTTTGTAGCTTACTGACTTATGACTACCATTGGTAGGTCCCCTGCCTACAAAACAGGGATATAATCATCCCCCATCTCAGAGGAAAATCGGTTGATTACAGATTACTTGGTTTTGACTTTTCAGTAATAGGTTTTACATGAATAAATAACACTGTCCTCAGGTCTGAATAGTGTGATGTAAACAATGCACAGAACCAAACTGCAGCTTTGCAAGGAGGAAACAGAATACTTAAGACCTGTTTATTAAGTTAGTGGCATTCATTACATGCTTCAGAAAAAATGTTATGTAACTTCATGATCAAATAATTAAAGACTGCACTCCATTGCACATGTACCAGGATGGGAAATTCAGTCTGTATGGGCAACCGTCCATCTAGTATTTTATGACTTCACAGTGTTGCTTTCACAACCTTGTAAATGATCTCTTAACTTAATCTTTATGTACATTACACATACAAAATGACTATCAGCAGCGCTGCATGCAGCAGGAACAAATGCTAACTTGTAAGCAAATGCGTATCATTTCTGTGCTACTATTGTCTAAGTATCACATGCGAAACAAATCCAAACTCACATCTCTCATCATTTTCACTGCTTCCCTGGTCCTTCCCAGCTTTCTTGCACACATTGCCAGCCTCCTCTTAATATAAACTAACACATTGGTGTCCCTTCCTGTATAAGAGGAAAAAGAAACAGCATTAAGATCAAAAAGATAAAACAAACATTCATTTAATATTCCAACACAAAAGGAAACATAGTTTTCTTGCCATTTTTTGTTGTTCACTATCATCAATGCTTTCACAATAATTTTAATAACAAATTACCAAATACTGATGATTTAGATGTGGTATAACATCACTGAAATCAGTGGAATTACTCCAGATATACAGTGGTATAAGTAAGGACCCATGGGTTGGCCTTACACCTATGAAATATATGCAGATCTGGAGGTACAGAGAACACTATAGGGTGTAGACCATCAAGTAATCAAGTGAGGCAAGGAGAACCCCTATGAAGTTAACATTGGCACAAAACTCTGATCACACACACAGCATTAAATTATTTACCAATTCACATACATGGTTAAGACAAGAGCATCCATGAAAATGCATGTTATATCCTGCCTTTTTTGTAAGTTATGATGTACATGCTTGTTAATAGGAGATGTAGCAGAAGAAATCCTCACCCTCTAGCAGTCTTTTTCCTTAATGATTGGAAGAAGTCTACCCTGAACTTCCAGTTTACAGAGAGCCTTTACTTGTTACCCAGTTATCATCTTCAAATTCCTCACACTGCTAATTATGGATGGCAAATTAACATGTTTCAGATATGACAGTCCCATGTGCTGGAATATGCCCTAACAGCAAAGATGACAGAAACTAAACAGCTGTAATAATCATTCTCTTGGAGAATTCTTACTCATTTCATTTCTCATTCTCTTCCCTATAATTCCAACATGAACTCTTAACATGCTTCTGGATCAACAGGAAATGAGCAGACAGCTAATCATCTATAAAATTACCATATCGTGAAAATACAAGACACCTGCTACAAATTATCTTTGTGTATAGTATGCAGTCTGTAAAGATTTTAGTCTGTTCCTAACATTTTCAAGTCTTTCATAATAAGAACAAGATGTGCACTGAAAACATTCCAGGTGCCTACAAATTGTTTTAAAGCTGTGATTACAATTTTCAGATAGATTAAGCAGCAGGTTGAAAGGTCTGACTTTAGAAGAAAAAACTAAATAAGGGAGGGAAGGAATTTCTTTAGCTGCATTTTGTATTATGTAATTCCTTATATCTGTATTGATTCTTATATATTTAATAAACAATTTATTAGTTACATCTGTTTCAACATGTTTATGTAGTGTAACTAAGAAGTATACACTTCAGGCCAAGCTTCTTTTCAGAAGCAATGGTCAAAAGGCATTTACTTACTATGAAATCAAGATAACCTTTCAGGCCAAGATTTGCTGAGGTGACTAATGATTTGGGGTGACTAACATGAGCCACCTTAAAAAGAAGATTACCCGTGCCTTCTATAAACCAGCACCTTTTGAAAGAGGTTAAGTTGGGTACTCAAAGTCATTATTTACTCTTAAAATTCACAGTCTAACATAAAATACTGTATGAAGGAGATGGAACACATGAATAAACAGAAATATAGAGCAATATGCTGTTGTTCAAGAAATTATATAACGTTTTTCACCTGTAAAAGATGAAATGCCCATTTTTCATCCCAAAGTCAACTTCAAGGACCAGAAATGGAATGACAGACATCTCAGAACCATGGAGTAACTACAACACATCTGTCCATGGTCCTTCCTCTCTAAAGAGATCTAAGCTCTTCACCTTTGTAAACCACACGGAAGTCCAGCATATAATCAAAAGAACCCTGCTTGAAGCCCCTGTGTCCAAGGCACTGTCTGAGGCTGCAACTTCTCTAACTTCTGTGGGTACACACTGACATTATCAAGGGGAGGCTGGGCGCTACAGAGAAATACAATGATCTAGCCCCTCCTGAAGCCACAGTCAGAGCTGGCAGCTGCTTTTCAGCCCCTCCTGCTCTGTGGCAATTCACTTAATTTTGGGATTCAACTGGTTGCTTCCTCTGCTGTAATACTGAAGGTTCAGGGTGTCAAAATTTGATGATGACCGTAGCCATCCAGCACACACAGTGTACAAAAAAACCCATACTTACATTTTCCTGCATAAACTTAACCAGGTTATCTTGGACATAAGCATTGTGACAGTGTTAAATCACTCTTATTGTATATTTTTCACAGAATCGCTGTCATTTTCTGAGCTCAGGACAGATTCTATGATTGAGCGCACAAATTAAGGTTTCACAGACAACTGTAAGCCTGCTAGAGCCTGAAAACTGCTTCAAGGGCTTAGCAGCTCTGTATTCTTATTTTCCCCAAAAACAAGCAAATCATCCTAAATATCATTTTATAACCAACAAATGTTTAAAATACTACCCCCAAGCTTTACAAAAGCTCAGCTTTTCAGGTATAGACTTGTGTACACTTTTGAAACCAGAGATCACAGACAATTTCACTATGTACAATTTGTATCAGCAATCTTCAAATTATGTGAGATAGCCAGAGGCTGTGAATTCAGGTCCTGAGAAACCTGAAGATGCCCAAAGTATGTTAGTGCTTGTACTTATGTAATTCATCGGTACTATTTTTGCCTGAGGTATCCATTGTAGACTAGAAATAACCTAGACTATTTGCTTTATTTATCTTTTTGTTCATTGACTGGCAGTGAACCCTCATGTATTTTCTTAGGTTTAAGAAGCATCTAATAAATACCAACGCAGCAGCCAAGCGCTGATATTTATTAACCAATATCTGCTTATTCAAAATTTAAAAAAAAAAAAAGTCTAGACTTTCAATTAGAGCACTGTATTATTCCAGTTGTTAATTTTTATGTTTCTGTGACCTTTCTTAATGTATGCAACTAACTTTTCAAATGTCACACTGGTTAATGGGTCTCATTAACTTTTACACAGAACCATGTACATATTTATCCTGACAGCTGCAGGGAAAAAAGCTGGCAAAGCATCACTTCACTCCTGTTTCTATCATTCTTTACTGCCTTTTCACAACATTAGCCCAAGTTTTCAAAACGGCTAAAGGCACTTCAGTGCAACTTCCTAAAACAGCATCCAGCATTTTCTGAATATCAGATCTCTTTTGGCTCTGCTACCTTTTCTCTTCTGTTAAGTACATATTTTCTGCCACGACAAAGAAAAGGCGCATCTGTAATCTGAGCATCGCTAGCTCAGCAACAGAATCAAGCAAAAACACTGAAACAGAATAATCTGGCTCTAGGGCCATATCCCAGCCAATGTTAAATACTGAGTACACAGTTCTGAGAGGGGAAAAAAACCCCAAAAAACAAAGAACTCCCTGGAACTTCTCTCTCCAAAGAAACTTACTGTGTTGGGCTTCATACTGCGCACCATGGTGCTGTAACTGCTGACTGCGCCTGTAACAGCCCTCTCCAGCTTTCAGAGCTTGCTTGAACAGCTTTTCTGCTTCTACAATTGTTGTCGCTTCCTCTTCGGCCAAGAGAATATAGGCAGTAGCACACCTGCAAAAATATCAGAGGAAAAACCATGAGAAAGTTGCATGAAGTAAAAGCTATGCAAACACATGCAGACTGGCAAGGATGTACCAAATACAGACGCAATGGAGTTTTGTCCATACACCTTTCTGATGAACTATTCTGGCAACCAGATGATGACTCTCATTTGTAGGTACTGTATCACTCAGCCACTTGAGTAAACGTACTGATAACTGCCCCAGAAAGTAAAGCACCATCTCACTAAGCAATCATGGCCTACATCACTAAAACTCCTTCTGGAAACCAAGACTAGTTTTATGCTCTATTGTTTTAACAGAAAATGTCTCCATTACTGTAATGGTATGAAAAGAATCAACAGACCTATAACACTTTGCAATATGGCAAGAACAGGTGATGAATGTAATTGTACAGATTAAAAACCAAAAAAAACCCCAAACCCAAAATACCCCCAAAACAGGAAAGCAGCTTTAGGAATACAATGAAAGGTGAAAAGCATGGTGGGAGTCACCTCATCCAGCTTTTAGCTGTCTAATTTAGATCTCTTAACTATCTGTGCCCCTCTGCCTCCATCAAGGAGCATCTTCACAAGAAGGGACAGGCGAGGAAGGAGGGGCGGAGACGTTGTCCTCTACGTAAAGAAATCAATACAGCGTGAAGAGCTGTCCCTGAAGAATAGCCACGAGCAGGTCGAA